ATTACAAATGAGAAAATTTGAATAAGCGTTGAACTTAACACCCACAGATAGGTAATCCGTTCCGACCGTTCTGTCAAAATGTTCGATCAAGGAAGCATCACGTGGGTACTTATAGGTAAAGGTTTCTGTCATATATGTACAATGTACATACATACCACTGTTCCAAATGTGGTTCTGCGACATCTGAGCGAGAGTAATTTCAGCGAATATATTTTGATTGACATATTTTCAGCGATTGTCAATTAGAGCGAATGACTTTTTACTTTTTAGCGATTGCCATTTCAGCGTATTCAATTACGGTTTTATCTCAAGCACATCAAGCACCAGCATCAGCAAAGTCAGTTTGATGCAGCTATAAATGTTATTGTTTCATTTAAATAATTATAGAACAAAGTCAGTTTAAGCGAAAAAATGTTGTCATTGGGAGACCAATGAGGAATAAGGTTACAGTAAAACCAGATTCAAAGAACATCAATTTTTACAGCTTCCCGGGAATCTTTCCTAAGAAATAGCTATGCGTCAAATAATAAGTGCCTGTGTCATTGTAGTTCTTTCGTCTTATCTTGTGATTAACAATTTCTCAGCTTGGTGAGCTCAGAGAAAAAGTATGATTTATGATTTTTTGTTCTTCTTTACGCGTCATTTGAAAAAAGACGCCTTTATCCAGTGGCGCAGCCAGAACTCTGGCGACGGGGGTGAGAGACGTTCGCGATGGGCCCCCCAGCAAAGTGGGCCCCCCCTCAACCTAATGGGGGCCCCTAACCAACAACGAAAGGTCAGCTCATTGTTTTGATCATTACCAGCCAAATCGGGGAAAAGGACAAATATCTCTTGATCTGAAGAGGCACGTAAAAAACAACAGCATATTTACAGAAACACGACCATTCTGCCCATATTTGATGGAGCGTGCAATTGATGGCCAGCGGCCACTCAAATGGCCGGGCTAGGTCAAAAAGCTTTTAAAAAAGCTCAACATCAGTTTTTCGACTATTACCTTTGATAGAGGTAGAGTAATGACATTGTCTTGAAGGTGTTAATCATCCATACGGATCAGTTGATGACCATCATGAACTTCTCAAGTAAGGGCATGACCTTGATCTGCGGTCACATTTTGAAGTTTAACTTTTTATGTGAAATTATAGGTGTTAACATTCGATGCATGGTGACGAGAGAATGATGACAAAGTAAATGTCTCATAATTTTTCTCACCAAAGTTCTTGCAAAAATTCTTAGCAAAACTATTTTGGTAAAATGCGACTATTTAGATGGTTTTGCCCTCTGCTCTGTTGCCAAACCATTGACATGAGGCATTGAGGTCAAATCTTATAAGCGATGAAGCGTTTTGAAAGGCCTATCGAATGAGTTGTTCCGCGAAGCTCTAGCTCTTTGGTTCACGAGTTATACGGTTATTTGTGAAAATATAAAAACAATAATTTTTTCGTCGTAATCTTGTCTTTGTGTTTAATGTTTATCATAGTTATCATAATTTCATCTTCAATGACCTCAGCGATGACCTAATCGAAAAATGACCGCTACGATTCTGAAGCATCCTACAGCTACCTATCTGTTGCTTTTCTCGTCTTTCTAGCCTTCTTAAATTACGATCGGTTTTGGCCGATACGCCCCCCCCCCATGGCTGATTGCACGCGTTAGAGAGCTATCAAACCCACTTTCAGCGCGCTTTAGCTTTTCATATAGTTATGTCCTCGAGTGTCGAAATAGGCGAAACTTTTCCTTCGATGAACATGATGACGTGGGCTTTGGTCTGAACTGCAACATGACTGAAGTAATTTCTCCATGATTTTCGACGCTCTTTAGAAAGCCGCCTACCGCCGCACTTGTCGCTTCGTGACCCTGGAGTCAGGTTAGAAGGGAATATTCAAACACCCCTCAAGGGCGTAAAACTGGAAAGCCTGGGGCCCTGCTCTGCGGAGCGCGGTCGAGCTAGGCTAGAGCCAGTTCGGGATGTTTACAAGCCCACGTAAAGCCCTCAAGAATCTGCATAGAGCACAGGCCTTCAATACTTGGGGGTTTAGATATCAACAATCGACATGGTCTTTTGAAACCTGCGTGGTGACTATCAGAGGTCGGTGGGCCCCTCTAAAGCCGGTGCAGGAGCCTCAGGTGTCAGTTTGGAGCCATCATGGATCGGTGTGGAGTCCTGGTGAATACCTAGGCGTCAAACCCTTAGACGTCAGGGTGAGGCCGGGCGGTGAGGCAGGCACAGGCCTGAAGAGAAGAGGAATTTTCCGATGTCGGCTTGGCATCTTAAGGGCCCTGCATGGCTTTCTCAGAGGCTGACATATCGTACTGCGGGACCTCCATGAACCTCAAAAACCTCTATGGGCCCCCTCACGCTTGGGGTAGGCTTCCTGAAGCATAAAATATCTGAGTCTTGAGATGGGCCCATTAGACATGAACTAGACCATCAATATACGTGTGGTGAGTTGACCTATATCAAACATGATATCGCTCAATCAGGATTGGGATAGGCCCTCTCAGACCCAGACCAGGCACGGAGTACGGACCCTCCCACACATAGGATGATCCTTTCATTCCTGGGATGAGTCTTCTCAAGCCTGAACTGGGCCCTCTCAGACCTGAAATGGGCCCCTCTCAGGCCTGAAGTGGACCCTCTCAGGCCTCAAATAGGTCCTCTAGGGCCTGAAATGGGCCCTCTCAGGTCTGACATTAGCCCTCTCAGACCTGAAATGGGCCCCTCTCAGGCCTCAAATAGGACCACAAGGGCCTGAAATGGGCCCTCTCAGGCCTGACATTAGCCCTCTCAGACCTGAAATGGGCCCCCTCAGCCCGGAAATGGTCCCTATCATGTCGAAAAAGGGCCCCCTCATACCGTAACTGGGCCCTCTCAGGTCTGAAATGGTGCCTCTTATGCCTGAGATGGGCCCCTCTCAGGTCTCAAACGGGCCCTCTCTGGCCTCAAACGGGCCCTCTAGGGCACGAAATGGGCCCTATCAAGCTTGAAATGGGCTCCCTCAGGCCTGAAATGGGCCCCTCTCAGGCCTGAAATGGGCCCTATCAGGCATCAAATGGGCCCTCTCAGGCCTGAAATGAGCCCTCTCAAGCTTCAACTGGGCCCCTTCAGGCCTGAAATGGACCCCTTCAGGCCTGAAATGGGCCCTCACAGACCTGAAATGGGCCCTCTCAGGCCTGAAATGGCCCTCTCATGCCATGGAACGGGCCCTCCAAGGCCTTGGATTAGTTCAATCGGGCCTTGGATGTACCCCCTTAAATGATAAAATGGGACTATAAATCCTAAAGGGGGGGTATCAGGCCTGAAAACTGTTTTTCAGTCCTATGACGGACCTTGACATTAGTGATAAAAAATTGTCGGGCTGCATAACGTTACAGTTCGAATCGACGGTGGGCCCCTAGGATAAGAGACGGGGGTGAGATCTCACCCCTTTCACCCCCCCCCCCCCTGGCTGCGCCACTGCCTTTATCACGCGACCAGTAAGGGATGGAAGGAGACGGTGATCCTAAAATTTGATAGGTCAGGTATGAAAAGAGCGACTAAGGGAATTCCATGGACCAATGAGTCAATGTCGCTGAAATCGGTCACACCGTCTAAATGTGCATTTAAGGAAACAAAGAGCTCTAACATATTTTATCAAATATTCCAACTGCAGGGTTAAGTGGGGACCTACAGTTTGTTGCAAAGTTATTTCACGGTCTGAAAACACGATGCGCCCCACCTTAACCTCACCCAGCCCATGGGGTTCATGTATGTATTTGCATGCACACTCGAGGTTATAAAATAAAAAATGTAGGGTAAAAACGGAGGCGTGTAGCGCCGTCTGATCTGGCACCCTGGTCCCTGGGACACTTTTGTCTTAGGACGTTTCCTGAAAATGTCAAGTCCTGGTGACTCTGGTCAGATTTCCTGACTCAGGTCAGCAGTTCGGTATGACCGTTATATATAGCCATAAATAAGCCAGTTAATAAAATACTAAATAAATGATCGGCTGGGCAGCCACACAGGTTTTACCGTAAACTGGTTTTAATAAATCGGCTTCCTTTGGTTGTATTACATTCGTATTGCACCAAAATGACGTCCTTAATGTGTACATTTTTAAAATCATATTCCTAAAAACATATCTATCACCATTCAAAAAATACAGTATGACAATCTTTCCCAGATCTTGGCTTGTTCCGGGCACGCACAGGGGGCGGAGCCTATGTTATCCGGGACATCGCGCGGGGCGGAGCCTCGATGGCGCAGGGAGGTGGCGCCGCCAGGCGGGCTCACATGAAACTGTGTTCAAGGTCATCTCAGGGGCCCAGTCCGCCGCCGCCGCTGCCGCTGCTTGGGGTGCGGCCGGAGGGAGGGGAGGGGAAGGTGGACTGACGGCGGGCGGAGGGAGGCATAGGAACAGGGGCGGATCCAGGTCGGCAGTTCGGGGAGGCTGGAAAAATCAAAACTTTTAGGAGTTTGTGTTTGAGATGAGTAGTAGGTAGGACGTAGATATTTGCTAAAAAGCGGTGGTGTTAGATTGCAATGGTCACCAACGGACATTTAGAATGTAGCATTGCTAGGTGAAAGCCTCCCGCATACCTATCACTGCTCGCTGCACGCGGGCACGGCTGTGGGCTGTGGTGCAGGATGCCTGGTAAAATTTTAGGACTTAAATTTCCACATCATTATAGTGGCTGCGATTAGGTAGGCTAGGTAAACAACATTGATAAAATGACATATCCTTCAACCTTTATTTATACCTACACTGCAGTGTAGGTATGCCATGCCACTGCACAGTGCACTGTGCAGTGGCATGGGCTCCACCACGGTCCCAGGATTGAGGGGATCCATTTCGAACCCAAAAATACATCACTTTATGATGCATACATTGCGTGAGATAACAGAACTGAAATTATTGGAGGACGGGACAACTCTCCCCCCCCCCCTCCTCCATCCCCGGTGGCGGAGCCCCTGCTGTGTGGCCTGCTGAGCTGAATAATGAGTAGAATATTTCAGATACAGGTATCTTCATCGCATCATGCATGTATTGAAATGCCTACACAATTATTATCATCAGAATACACTTACACTTCAATGAATTAAACACACTGATATGGGCGAATTTACGAGAAACTACGAACACAACGGGAGCACTGAGCTGAGCACCTTCCTTTGACACAAGAACTGACGGATTCGCACTTCGCAGAACGCCAACAGCACTCACAAACGCAGACAATCGAACGGTGACAGTTTTGAGCAAGATACATGATATCGCCCACAAAACGTTTACAAATCAGTTGAGTGGTTAACAAATCAGTCGAATGGCCATCTGCACCTGTCTGAGTTACCTGTTCATATATACTACGAACACCAATATAAAACAGCGAGGAGATCGATCATTATCAAAATTGGCATAAAGTGAACAGTTTGCACTATTCTGAGCAGTTGTGTGATAGCTATGAATGAATCGAGTAAAAATCGTATGATTTGGCTGCTAGCCTCTCACAAAGAAGCCACTGTCCACCACGGAGATCGCACGGATGGACCAGTGAGATCCACCTCCTTCACTTCACACTTAATCGCAGCTCAACCCTGTAACCGTCTCAGTTCACAGCGCCCAACATCCTCGGAGACCGGCCCACCCATCAGTTCTTTGTAAGCTCAGCAGCCGATGCTACCTACCCAGCGAGTTGGTCAGCCTCTCCATGCGCGCCAGCGAGCCGGACGAGGTGCTGGAGCCGCTGCAGGAGCCGGTGCCGGCTGCCTCTGCCGGCAGCACGTTCAGCACCGTCAGCCGGCCCTGCGACTGCTGGTGCAGCAGCGCCGGGTTGGGGATCTGACGGCGCGCCGCGCTGCCGCTCACCGGCCGGCACCGCGCCGCCGACTGATCGCCGGCCGACGGCTGCCGCGACACTCCCAACTGCTGCGACTGCGACAGCGACAGCAGACTGCCGAGCGCCGACGGCGGAGGCGCGGCCGACACCGGAGGGGGCGTCTTGCCGGCCGCCGCCTGGATCTGCTTCATGGCCAGACTCTCGGCGATGGCCAGCAGTTTGGGCGAGTTGGGCGGCCGGGCCGGCTGCGGCTGCGAAGCCGGCGCGGCGCGGATCTTCTCGATGGTTACACTGCCATCGGCGGTGGCGCGGCCGGCCGGAGAACACGGATGATCGGCCGGAGCCGGCGACGGCGAGGGCCGGCCGGACGCGGAACCATTGGCCGAACGGGGGATCCGGGTGATGCTGACCTCTTCACTAAGCATGCCGTCCGATGGGTAGCCCGACGATATCCCACTGGCCTTCAGCGATGCAGATTGCTGAAGAGGTGACGCCTGATGCGGAGTTTTCCTTCCATTCTTCATTGACTTGTCTTGTACGGAAGTACTTGATGCGGTGGCGTTGCTATTTTGGACGGAATACGTAGCTGGCTGAGAACCATTGGTTTGTGTTGTGAAGTTACTTTGGGACGCGGATTTCACCTGGCTGCTTTGTTTAGCGTCACCCGAGGGTTTCCTCTGCGTGGGTTTGGGTCGGATCGGTTTGCCGGACGCCGGCTGGCTGGGCGCCGTGGCGCGGCTCAGCAGCGCCGAGGCGTCGGCCGGCAGCCGCCAGGAGCCGTTCGGGTGGGAGACGGCCGACTGGCTGACCAGCCACAGGAACTGGTCCAGCTGGCCCGTCATCAGCGGGATGGCGCCGGCGCCGATCGGACGCAGCGCCGGCAGCGACGCCAGGCTGCGGCGCGGCGAGGGCGGCACCGCCGACGGCTGGCCGCCCGCCGGAGCCGCCGGACGCTGGGCGGGGGCGGGGGCGGGGGCGGGGGCGGGGCTAGGAGGAGAACGGTGAGGGGCGGACACTCCGGGGGTGCCGGGAGGAGCCGGACGCTGTGGAGGAACAGTCGAGGCATCAGGAAGAACATGTTGCTGGGGAACGGTTCCAGCTAAAGGGTTGGAAGGGTGAGGACGATGGACAAGATGACTCTCAGAATGTGCTGGATGAGTATTTATAGGAGGTGTAGATGCTGAGGTACCGGTCAACGGAAGTGAATGGTCCTTCGATTGGGTCCCGTTGTGCTTTTGTTTCTTTGTCTCATGGCCATTGAAGAAACCTTTCTCAGGCGGCCGCTGCAGTTTTTGTCGCTTGGAATAGTCACCAACAAGTTCCTTGGTCGGTGACAGGATCCTCAATCGAATGGAAGCGTTTTCTTCAGCCTCGTCGTCAAAATCGTACACATCAATGGGCATCCTGGCTGCGCTGCCACCGTCCTTAAGCGCCGAAGAAGGGCTTGGTGTGCCCACACTGGCCGGGTCTTCGTTGCCACTCTTATTTCTTCTCGGAACGTTAGCCTCTCTCGAAAAGAACTGTCTTGAGTGGGGCGTAGGAGTTGTCGATGATCGTTCGGATGAAGAAGTGGCAAACCTTGAAGGGGCGGTAGACGAGGGTGAAATAACGTCGAGTGCTCGTTTCATTGAATCAGTTGTACTTCTGGCTTGGAGGCCGTTTGATGCAACGGGTGGCTTCCCGGATTTCTCAGGGGATTTCAAGATCTCCCCAGGCTCCAAGGCACATTCCTTGGCACTAGGATTGAGCGTTTTGCGACTGACAGAGGTACCATTTGACGACAAAGAGGTATAAGTTGTATCTTTTGATTTATCATGTGGACTAGAAAAGTGCCCTGCGATACGCTTGATGCGTTTGTCTTTCAATGTTTTCCTTTCAGAGCAGGAGCTTCCCGACAAAGAACGATTGTGACCGTTTCGTTGTGCACCAAGATTCGATGCTCCATTTATTTGTCTTTCTCCTTTGCCTCCATCTTCCCAGTTTGTTGTCTTACGGGTCTCCTTAGCTTGGTCTACATTCGTCATTGTATCACCCTTTTCCATTGACTTGTCCTGTTTTGGAGTCCCAAAACCTGATTTTGACATTTTGTTTGCCTGGTGTGTGAGCTGTTCCGGAGCAGCATTTGCACTTTGCACATTCAGGCACTTGCCATTGGCGGTTGGACCCCTCCCGTGGTGATCACCACCGACTTCTCGGCTCGTACCCGCATTCTCCTCAGCCGTGGTGCCCTGCTGGTCTAACAGCGCGGAGGGCTCGCTCGGGGTGCACCGGGTCGCGCCACCGCCGCCCCGGTCACTGCCACTCCACCCAGGAGCGGATGTTGTGCAGACCCCGCCGCTCGCCGCAGCCCCACCATTTGTCAACAAAGTACTGGGGTGTGAATCACGCCCGCTGGGATCTGGCTGAGGCCCTGGGTTCGCGGCGACCGACTGCTCAGAGGCTCCCGGTCGCTCCATGTTGTTTGAACCATCCTGAGACGTCACAGAGGGTTTGGTGTCCGGGTCAGCCGATTGCCCCGTGAACCCCTGAGGTACATCACTATCTGAACCCTTCCGTGGCGTCACCGCAGCCCTAGTGTCCGCCGTATCGGCAGTCTTTGGACCAGACGCCACTTTTTCTGGCGACTGGGGAGTTGGTACAGCCTCTCCAGCAGTCAGTGAGTGCCGACCGTTCACAGTAGCCCCACTCAGCTTAGAGCCCACCTTCCGCAGAGGCGAGGCGCCCAACCGGGCCCCGCCCTCCAGTCGGGTCTGCTTCTTGTCGACCTGCTGCTCCTCCTTCTCTCTCGTCACCGCCTCCACCCTTACCGCCTCCGACACCGCCCTCGCTTCCGGCACCGTGCAGGAGTTTTTCGATCTCTTGGTTGGCGGCGCGGTCGGATCGACGGTCGAAGCGCTGGTCGACGCAGCGGTCGAAGCGGCGCGCTTCCTCGTCCAGCGATAGAAAAACGCCATCGGCGCCGCCTGAAAGTCAAACAAACAAGTGTGGGCATTCCGCGCGGGGCCGGGCGGCGCGTCGAGCGATAGCAAAGCGCCGCCCACTTATCAACGCCAAGTATAAGCCGCACAAAACCGGGCGCGGGCGCATTCCTGGGCGCGTGGGGCCGCCCCAGCTGACGGGTTGGCCGGCGGGCCGGCGGCACTCAGACGACTGACGAGAGACCGATCGACCGACGGCGCAGAGTTTATCAGGTTCGGTAGGGTGGAGGGAAGGGGAAGAGGGAGGGGAAAGATAGGGAAGACTGGAGGGGAAGAGGAAAGGGAGAGATAGAATTCAGTCTGCTGACAAGTGATTACCTATGGTAACAATAGTGAAGTAGATATGGGCAAGAACATCGACGTAAAAAGCTTCCGAAGTCTGACTCCATGGACTACAGACATGTTTTTTTTTTTGGGGGGGGGGGGGAATCACAATCCAAGATGATGACTAATTATCACAGAAATCAAGAGGCCCAGTCCTGTCATTCATCCGCACTCCAAAACTTACCCGGTCCCAGTTGTATTGACAGGCCACATCCATCACGGACAGGTCATCCGGTACCACTTGACCTTTGTAGAGGATGTCCACCTGTTGATATTAAACGTTGATTAATGTCAGACAAATGACAATCTTCCGTATGCTCAGAGAAGTCAGCAGCACCCCATGGGATAAATGCCAAAAGAAGACGTTAAAAAAAACTAAGGAAGCTCTGCAAAACACACGCTGCAGAAAACCTGGTCCTGGGTTCTCACCTTGGCATCACGCGGTCTCAGTCCATGTTTGAGGCGGAGCAGTTTCTTCAATTGGCTGATACCAAGACCTGCAGGTGCCTGGAAGTAGCGTACCGAGGGAAGGTCTGTCCGCTCACCATCGCGGAACCCAATTCTGGGGAGAAACGATAAGGCCTGGTAAGCGCAGAGCTCAAACGAATGATCAAAGTTTGGGAGCAGGATTTTCACAGGAGGAGCCGAGTCGTAGGTAGAGTTTTTCTTAAAACGGCGCCAGCAAAGAGCACAAACGAATGGTCAGGACTTCGGAGCAGGTTTTTCACGGTATAGCAGCCGAGTCGTAGATACTTTCAAAACGACACAAAGTTCTTCGGAACTCGTGCAGTGGCGTAGTACGTACGTGTGTATCATGTGCCCTACGAGGAAACACACTGACAGCTTCGACGAACGTAACTGCGCTTTAATTGCCATCGTTTATCAACCGGTGACATTGACAATCAAGGAAAACCTGGCACGATATTGATGGATTGGCCTGCCACCCACTCGATGAAACATCGCGCCTTGACGTCTAAACAAGCAGTGGCGACGAACAAGCAAGCAACAGCTCGTCACCCGAATTGGGTCCCGGGACAGTCGTACTAGGGAGGTTGTGACAGGAATGGGCTGATTCCAAATCCGTCCAGCATGGTTTGAATGGTTCCCGCTACTCACTGTGTTTGTATTTGTATTTGTATTTATACTGGGAGTCTCTGCAGGCGACAAGGACGGTTCCCGCAATCTTCCGACAAAATTTAAATGTCGCTGCTAATCGCAGTAGTGATGGTCTAATCTAACATCCCATAGTGAAAACGCTGAGCCCACCTCCCACCGTGGCTGGGACAATCCCATCGCCGCCCTATGTGGTAGGATGGTCCCATCGCAGACCAATGATGTCGCAGGACGGACCACACATCGGTCCCGGCCGTGGCGTCGCCCGATCGATAGAGTGAGGCAGCCGATCAGCGAGGTTCCCGTGCCACTGCGGGCCGGTCTACGGAGACCATCGTCCATTGGGCCCGGTCCCCTGTTTGAAGGGGACCAGGCTTGGAATGCTATATCGGCGTCAATAGCCATAACCACCACGGATAAGTTTATTCGATTATCCCTTGCCACCGCCGAGGTCACATAGCCGGCACGAACCCCTGGGACGGCCCCCTGCCACCGGGGCCGCTCTGCCCAGTCAGCCAGCCGCTCTCTCCGTCAGCCGCCTCCGCCGTCGTTTGTTTATACTGGAGCGACCGGCGGGCGGCGGGCGGCGAGCGGCGGGCGGTGCTGTGGGGGCCGGTCGTACCGGCTGCACTGGCCGCCGAGCGCCGCTGAGCCTGCCGCCTGCCGAGCCACGGCCGGGCCTGGTCGGTCGCTATCGTCCATCAGACGACGGCCCGCCAGGCGGCAGCCGCAGCCGCAGCCGCGCCGCCGGCGCCGCTTCTCGGAACGTGAGCGGCGCGGCCTCTAGCCCGCCACCGCCGCCACCGCCGCCGCGGTGCTGCGCTGCGCTGTGGTGCAGTGCTGCCTGCCCCTGGTGAGTCGCAGTAACCGGTATTAATATGGGCCTGCACCGGCCGGGCATTGATTTACGGCGGACGGGCGACCCGGTGACCGACCGACTGTAAAAACAGCCGCCCGCCGCCGCCGCCGCCGCCGCCGCCGCCGTCCCCGCCCACCGTCCGCGGCAGGTCAGCGGGCAGGAGCGGCAGGAGGTGCTGGTGTGACGTCCGACCCATGACGTGGTCACGCCCGTTCGGGGCACATTAACACCTCGTGACCAGCAGGGATGAAAAGCTGGCAGCGGGAGACGACAAGGGTGTCCAACAGCGAAATGGAAACAGAGTCGGCTCCTCCGCTCGCTGCCAAAACTGCGGCCATATTTTAGCGGGTAGATCCGTGGTCTGGATCAGGATGTGAAACAACGTGCAAATCTAAAGAATGGGTCACTGGCGATCAAGGAGGATTTACATACCAGGATTATCATCCAGATCCAGCATTGCAATCTTTACAGTCATTCGGTGCCGTCTGCACAACAAAGTACACAAACGAACGAGTAGAGCACCAGTACACCACCAGTCATCCTCCTAAAGAGTTAGAAAAACGGTTCCAACCCGATACGGATCAGTTTCACGGTTCCCAGCGTTCCCATACCAATTAAGCTCGTCTGTCGGCCATATACAGGTGGCCGGGGCCGGTCGGAGCGGTCGGGGCTCGCCATGCGGTCTGGCACCAGCTGATCGGCGACCAGCACGGTGGTCTTGTCACCGGCCTGCATGCTGCGATAAGATCCCACGTCATTTATTGCCGTCGGTAGCGCGGCAAAAACTGGACACCAGAGTCGGCATGGGAGCGGCCGGCGCAGTGAACGGCATGCGGTTCCATGCCGGGGCTTAGAAAGCCAGCCAGCCTCAATTATATTCGTTTTTGGCTTGCCGCCTGCGGCCATATGCAGCGAAGAAAGTTACGCTTTGACTATCTAATCCCAATTCTGTCGTCATTGTCATTCCTTTTCAGTCTTACTTCGCGCTATAGTGCTCGACAAGATATATTGACTGGCTTGGCGTCGCGATAGGCCATTATGCATTATCACATGGTGATGAAAATCCATGATAGCTATACATGATGTAGAATGTAAAAGAACAGATGATACAAAAACAAATCAAGATTGTAAAACAAACATAGAGGCTGCAGTAGGTAAAATGATTCGAGCTTTATGTTATCTACGAAGAGGAGTCGGATATATTTATATGGCATTGGCTGTTTAGGACCGGACATCCCATTACACCCTTCATTTGAAATTCCCGATGTTTTAACGTTTGCTCTTTTTGTCTACAGCCATTATGATTACGACATCATGGTTATAGGTGAAACTTGAAAGGGGTCTTGTGTTGCGCCTCCTAATGACCCTTTGTTGCGCCGTTTAATTAAGTAAGTAGGCCCGTGTTGCACCGTTACTGCAACACACTCTTTCCGCACTCAGGAAATCGCATGCGAGAGCCTATTCAAATGCGTATATAATTCTTCCCGCATCAATCGCATGCGGGAGCGGGGAGGTGCGTGCGATTGATTGGAGCGTGCCTCCATGTATTTGAATAGGCTCTCGCATGCCATTTCCTGACTGCGGAAAGAGTCTGTTTCAGGCTTAAGTCAGAGAGAATGAGTTACACTGTTCGCTAGCGTACGCTACAATCCTTGTTGCGCCATTAGCGTAAGTCAGTGAGTCCGAACTCCGAGTTGCACTGTTAGCGATACGGTAATATCCGTTTGTAGCACCGTTAGCGTAAGTTAGTGAGTCCCCTGTATGTTGTTAGCGTACAATAAGTCCTTTGTTGCGCCGTTAGCGTAAGTCCGCGCCGCGCCGTCAGCCGTTCCCAGGACTGCGGCTCGGCGAAGTGGCCCTGCTGGTCGGCGGTCAGCGGCCGTGACTGATTGACACGGGCCATGCAACAATGGCTCGCCATTAAGCGGCACCTATCGCCCCCGCGAGCGCGGACCTCACCAATCTCCGTGACCGCAGTCGGTCGGCACCGACAGTCCGGCTGCCGCCCCGACCCAGTTCGACCGGTCACCTTATCGGCTACCGATCACGAAATTAAGCCTCCAGCGCACGTGACTTCAATGGGAAGCAAGGTTCATTCGGCTAAGCCGCCTACAGACCTCTGAGTTCGGGCACCGATGATGCTGTCATCAGGCTAGATATTTAATTGGAGCCCACCACAGACTCAGATAATTGAAATTTGCATCTCTTTACTCTCCATCCGTCCCTCGTCGCACTCACCAGTCGCGATCGCACCCTGTTGGCGCCAAACTCGTGCGCCAACTCCGCCGGCCGAGCGCGCCCCAATGGCGGCCGGAGGCAGCAGGTGGGCTCCGGGTCACGTGATCCGGGGGGGGGGGGGGTGCTGACAGGGGGCGCAGGTGTGCCGACACCCCGTCCTGCTCCCGAATCGTGCCGGGCCCGTGCCCCGTCATTATGGGACCGAACCCAATTGATAGGAAATTGCCCCCGAAAGCGCGCGGACGGCGGGAGGCCCGATTGAAAAATGACGTCTCGCCCGAGTTACTCTAGGCAAGCCCTTCGGTAATTAGATAGTGCCAGTGGCAGGCGGCCGGCGGGGCCATTGGGCGACACGGGTGACTGCTCCGCTGGCTAATGTCCAGCATCAGAGGCACACAGACAGGGGAGCCAGTCGCCGTCAGCAGAAAATCGTCTCAATTTGATCATATGATGGCCAGTAATGTGTCGCGTGCTAGAAGGGTAAGTGGAATAAATTGCGGATCGTGCTTTGATCGTCATTTAATAAAGATCCTCCAGTGGACCCTGACGGATAAGGATAAAAGGCCGTTAAGATCGTATCGTTCCCCTTTATGTCAAAACAGAGACACGTGTAGCCGCGTTCCCTGACATGCCGTATAGACGATATCCGTATCCATGAATCTCAATCGTTAATTAGATTTGATACCTGCACAGGCGTTCGTTAATCTGTTCGTTTATTCGTTCCTCATGTCTTCCATCTCCCCGTTTTCCAAGCATTCTCTCCAGCCCCGTCGTCCATCTCCGCCGTCGGGCGACCGAAGGCGGAGTGGCGCGCGCCGAATAACGAGCTGGTGCGCCGCCACCGCCGCTGAAGCAATTACGAACACGCACCTCACCCTGAGTCCCGACACAATAAGTCTGTGGTGCGTGTGCAGCTGACGGAGGGGCGGAGAGGACCGGGAGAGGGGGGAGCACAGGCGGTAGGATAGACGGTAGAGCCTAGAGGTGAGGGGGGGGGGGGGGAGGTCTTGATAACGCCGTGACGGCAGACTAATTACATATGTGTAGTGACGTGTCCCCATTCATCAAATATGTCTACCGACAGAATCATCCCCAATCCGCAGTGCCCAACTGATCAAAGCAGAAGAGATCTACTTCGATGACTTCGACTGACTGAACCTACCTGGCGAACTCGAGGCTGAAGCTAATGGGGTCGCTAAGGGTATATGTAGACTGCGAACCTACCTGGCGAACTCCAGGCTGAAGCTGATTGGGTCCGTGAGGGTGTAAACTGTAACTATAGTGTATACTGTATGCTGCGATTTGTGAACCTACCTAGAGAACTCTAGGCTGAAGGTGTGTACTGTATATTGTGAACTTTACCTGGCGAACTCCAAGCTGAAGCTGATGGGCTCGGTGAGGGTGTAGACAAACTGCTGGGAGCTGACGTCTCCCCGCCGCTCCGGCGACAGGCTCCGGTCTGCGGCAGAGCGTGGAAGAGAGACGGTCAGAAAAAAAACACATAAAAAACAGGAACAATATGTAGGCCATAGCTCATAGCAGAGACAACAGACTAGAAGAAAGATTGTCATCGGTACATCTGCAAGCGAAAATCAAAAATAGTTCCGTTAAGTCAAAATAAATCACCAATTTGTAGATTGACAGAATAATGTTAAATGGATATCCCCCGTTCACTTATTGAACAAAGCAGACAGCGACTGTCTTAGAATGTTGCATGAAACCTGGTTTCCCTGAAATCCGGGCCCATGGAAGCATCCGGATGAACCGTTAGCCGGCGGTAATCCTCCCCTTGGAATGACGTATTTTCGGCCGAAATCTCTCCATCCCCGGCGCCAAATCCCGTACTAGTTCCGCGGTGCGAACCAAACCAATCGGTGTGGCCGGCCGTCCGCCCGGCAGCAGTCCGGCAGCCTGAGACACCCGAGCCAGGCCCTCTCTGGTCACCGAACACTACCCAATGGTCGGCTACAGCGTGCCGCCGACGCCGAACGCGCCCGTAATTTGTATCGGGCATTGTTGGTGGCCGGGCGGACGGGCCGAAAGGCCGGAAATCCGGTGTCGGTGCCGGCCAGAGGCATTGTGCCGACCAGCCGACACCGAGCAATCCAATCCGAGCTAATTTGGAGCGGGCGCCACCCCCGCCGTGGCGGCGTCTGCGTCCTGGCGGCGGATGGCGACTGTATCCTGTTACTGCCACTGGTGTGGGTTGACCGGTTGAATGCGATCTCCAGTTCCAGCTTGTTCATGCTTCATCTAAATTTGTAACTGCTTTCTAGTCCTTTCTTGTTACTCATATCGAATTGCTTCAGGTCACCACTCACCAGCAGACATGTGGGAGGTCGTTGACCAGAAATGCTACCATCCCCCTGAATAGTCGAACAGATTGTTGGGATTCGTTGGAGGTGAGCTATGGCTAGTTTGAGCATAATTATGAATATTATGATGGTAGAAAATGACCTTATGCTCATGATACAATGAAATGATATTAAAATAAGTCCAAAAAGTATTATAATACTTTTTTGGACTTATTTTAATATCATTTCATTGTATCATGAGCATAAGGTCATTTTCTACCATCATAAGATTGTTGGGACTTTGAAGAATCTTGTCCTTTGAGAGAAAGTCTAGTTCACACTACGAAAGCCAATAGCTTATAGCGACCCTCTCAGCTGTTCGCTTTCCTAATCCTGCCAAGTTCATGTGCCCTTAGAGCGGCTTAATAAGACCGAGGGTGCCAATTAACCCAGATAAACGACGACAATTAAAAGTATGACAGCCGTGATCGACTCTTACTGCCGAGTGTGTTGCCTTACCTCGTAGCGAATGGTCTTGGTTCTTGTAGAAGTCTCGCCGTCTCTGCATCTCCTCGTTAAACAGCCGCGGCACCAGTTTGTAAACGACAGACTGCAGAGTCTGGTCGGGCCTGGAGGTGAGTTTCGTGTAGATGTTACTGGATTGTCATTAAATTCGCTCGAATGTAAAACTCGTCCGGTATTTAACCAAAACACAATTATTCGACCTCATCTTCTGCAAGTCGTGCAATAACCGATACGCGCATCAGGAACTGAACGTGAACATTATGAGAGTAACGCGAAATGTGATTGGACGCTTTTAAGTTTTGGAAGAATGAAAGCAAAAGGTTCATGGGTTTCTGGTTGTGGAACAATATCATAAGAAGATTACTTAGAAAGGGTGCAGTTTTTTCGCAATAAGCCTTAACTCATTAACGCCGAGTGGCAACTATAGTTGCCATCTACAAAAACCTACTGCTGAAGGCAAGTTAATGACGTCAGAACAGCATTTGTGGGATGCCTAATCAGCATAGTCCCTTCTCATCATGATCAGACGGTTTTAGTCACGTCCTGTGCGCAACATGCTTCACAAATCAAGAAAAAGTCAGACGTTGCAGAGACGGCCGCCATATTGGCTTGACGGTCCCGAAGAAAACGACGCTGTTTTTCCAGAGTGTCCGGTATTTCCGAGAATTTTCGGCTTATTTTGATCCAGAAAGGATGTAGGCAGGCTACCAGTGTCTCAAAACTTGAAAGCACTCTACTCATTTGTAGTTATTTGTACTAGATTTGTACTTGGCAACTATAGTTGCCACTCGGCGTTGGCGTAGTCAAAAATATGAGCGGTTCATAGTTAAATAGTTGTATTTACGGATATACTGTAACGAAACATATGTTATTCAACCAGACTGTCCCCGTGTATACCTTGGGACATAGTTACATGGACTTTTGCAAATAAATTAACAATTAAGGCAGAAATTAATTAAAAAATACATGCATGTCTATACATTACCATAGTGAACCCTACCCCCATCCATTGTTTTCTTGGTCTATTCTCGACATTGTTAAATCTGTTTATGTTTATCATCTACTGAAGATATTTTTGTGGAATGGGATGCAATCTCGCTTTCTCTTTCCTCTCTCTCTCTCTCTCTCTCTCTCTCTCTCTCTCTCTCTCTCTCTCTCTCTCTCTCTCTCTCTCTCTCTCTCGCTCTCTTTCCCTGTTCCTCCACTGGCGGATGCAGGAAACATTACGGACATTCATAGCTCACAGAGTCCGACTTGCCCGATTTTGTTTCGTTTTCTTTGTAAAGAAAGAGAACTAAAACGGCATTTATACGATAAAGATTGCCTACGATTGCACAGTAATGCATTTATAACAAACCGAAATCCGAGAAGTTTAGGTACGAGAATTTTCAAACCCTGCTGCGTGTGATATCACCTATCACCTTTCTGGATAAACCAGAGTCGCTCTCGCTTTCTATGTCGAAGACTATATGCTTTGCTGGTTTTTCCTAGCGTTCGTTAGTCGCGCCACTTGCAGTATGCATAACCAAACTCAGGCATGCTCATCTGCAGGCACCGTGCCATGATGCTAAATCGTGTGACCAGCTCGTGTTTCAATTTGGAGGGGCACGTAGGTATTAAGCCTATTTGCATCAACAAATTGTTTTTAGCATCGTAAAGACGCTGTATGACGTTTACAAACAGGGACCCATAAACGAAAGCTCCCCCACCTCCTCCGCTGAGCTCCCATTGACGCCGATTATGACCTTGACACAGTCGTGATACCGAATTGATTCCGATGAAGCTGCTTGCTATCTGAACTTTCACAGCAGATGCTGGTGATTCAGCTGAATGAGACGGCGGAGGCGGCTTTGTGCTTTGGGTTTCGTGCGAGGATAACAGCACACGAAACTTTAGGTTACGATCACGTAGCTGATGTTGTCTCATGGGACTGAATGAAAATTGTGAACCAAAGGCGAGACATCGCCTGACTTGGGGCAGTGCTGATTCCTGGCACTGCCAGCTGGAAACGAGGAAATGGGGATTCAGGTGGTAGAAAATATGTGGGCCTGTTCAGTTGTCCTAAACTAGATGAAATTGAACTATATTTTTATGACACGTGGAATGTGTTCAAGTGCAAGTAGTGGTGGTCGCCTTGTACTTACACCACTTTTACTCGTCAATCAACATATCCCCCTTCTTATTCTGAAGTACAACCGCCAGTGTGTGCTCGAGTCGTGATCACGAAAGGGATCCAATTTGTCCAGACTCTCGTCCGAACAGTCTAAAAAACATTCGAAGGCGAACGGATTTACTGGTTAGGTAAGGACAGCAGAAGTACGTACGTATGCGGGAATCAGAAATATACTATACAATTCCATGGCTCCGGTAGGCCTGTAATCAGCGTGCTCGCAAATAGGCATGAATAATCGAGTTGCTTTGTACCCCGAGTTTTTACAAATGTATCATACCCGGTAGAAAGTTTTGTGATAGGACGGTGTCGGTATACCTGCCATCAACCATGTACGAGTAAATAGGGATCTGGTGAGAACTACGTATGAGATAATATGCATTCTTTGTTGAATTGTTTTCGAGCAGATTTTATTTATGCATGTCAAGATAAATGGTTAAAAAGGACTGGTAAAGAGCATCTGCTTTGGTACAGAAAAACACTTATTGATGGATAAATGAACTGTGTTTCCTGGATACCAAGGACTGCAGCTGCTTTGGGCACAGGCTACAGGCTTATACTATAGGGCATAGTGTAGATTCCACTACTTAGACGTAATTATCTTATTAAAAATTTATATTGAAGTGGCGTAACCACTTTTTTCTGTTTGGAAATTGGATTAAGGCTCGTAGGGGATAAGTTGGGACATAAATAGATTCAATGCATCCCGGCGATTAGTATTTGTTTAATGAAAAGTTACGATAGCGGCAATTTTTGACTACGCCAACGCCGAGTGGCAACTATAGTTGCCAGTCCAGAAATATATGCTAAAAATATTTTTATTTTTCAATACACCGTATGTGCATTTCTAGTGCATGTAGAAGCACAGGGCATCAAGAAAAACTGCCGAAATTTGCCCACGGAATTATCGTCGTTAATTTGAACGCAAGATAATGTCAATAGCCCTCGCGCGTAATCCTAATTTCTTCCCGTAACTTTTCACGCTAGATTTCAACTATGCAAGAAAAGAACATTGCTTGCCTTTAGAGAAATGCGTAGTAGGTACACAGGACCGGCATTAGGTAGCCACAAACGACCTGTCAGATAATCATTATTCGTACATCGCTAGACTAAACCTCGCCTGTACAGCGGGAGCTGGCGTGTTCTGTAAGCCGAGCCGGGGGATTTCATTTGCAGCCCCAAATTGCCATCTCCCTCGCTGATCCCCAGATACGCTCTCGACTAATGAAATGTCCCGGGGCGACGGAAAACAAAGCCAATCGGCCCGGCGGTCTCTAAACGCATACCAGGGGTGGAGCGCCACAAAATATGAGCGCCATCGGGGCATTCCACGTCAAATCGAACAAAAATCGGCTGTTTTGCACCTTACCATCAGCGATTTCATTATAAATTTGTGAGCGAGTTCCTGTGTGGCCCCGGACATTACATTGATGTTTTTTGCACATTCTGACCACAGGTCTTCTAAATATAGGGCATCAAATTTTTACAAAATGTTGCATCTTTATATTTTTGAGCGACCATAACTTTGGTTGTACTTGTTTGATTTGAATGAAATAAACCTTACTGTTTAGGTAATTTCTTAAGCATTTGTTTATAATTGCATCGACTTAAATATATGACCTTGAAATTTGCTTAACTCTGTTCTTAAGCACAAAAATTGAAATAGCAAAAAAAAACGCCACCTTCGATTTGGCTCATTTTCATATATTTTATTGCCTACCATATTCTTAACAACCTGTGAAAAAATTAGAGTGGGCCATTCATAAGTTTTGAAGAAAATGGCACATATGCAAACGTATGTTAGCACGCGCAGTGGAGGGGGAAGAGTGAATTTCGCCCCACCCCTCCTGTTTTTCGCCAATATCTCATAATATTGATGCGAAATTACTTATGGCTACCTGTCCAGAATTGAATTGCACATCTCATCGTGCAAGCAATAAGAAAATCGGCTCACAACTGTTCTAGTAATAGCGGTGTAAAGTGAACATCCTGTCGCCGCGGCGACGCGGCGACTCGGCAGCCGGCGCCGACCGCTACGCGCCGCCTGAATTGTAGACTGTGCCGGGACGGAACGGAACGGTTCCGTCTTTACATCGCGCTCCTTACCGCTGATTACGTTCGATTCGCGTCAAATTTTGTGAGAAGACTATGAAATGTACAGGCAATCTTATGGTGAAAGAATTCTGAAAATAGGTTGGTAAACAATTGAAATATGAACGTGTAAACACAAAATTGTGACTGCTGCGTTTCCCGCGTCGGCCGATCCCGTCTCAGCCGGCGACATGTTACTCTTAGCAGGACTCTAACTGCCATATTTATTATCGGATTAACTAGAAATTCCCCATACATACTCAAAAATGTATGTTCTTTCGTATAGTGAAGATCAAAAGACGTGAAGATATCGTTGCGTGATAATGTTTTCGTTGAATTTATTTCATGATGCATTTCCACACGGCTCAAAATTCACCGCAAAATACCGTTTGCCTGAGACACTTTTACAATGGAACGTGAATGCTTGACTACGATGACTATGCATTTCCATTCTCGCAGAGTTTGGAATATCACTAATCAGCAATCATTCATTTCAGAAAGTGTACACAAGCAAGCATGTCTTGACTCTGTCTTTCAAGGTCACGCGCGGTTGCGTGATGTTGATGCATGAAAACGGCGTTTGCCGCGAAAGTTATGAATGGCCCACTCCAATTTTTTCACAGATGGTTAGGAACATTGTGACGGACATAATATGTAAAAATTACTCAAATCGAAGGTGGCGTGTTTTTTGCTATTTAAATTTTTCTGTTTTAATTCAAGGTCAAATGCATTTCAAGGTCACTTCAATTTAATTTTATAATTAAAAATCAAAGCCTTATCAATTGCCTACAAGACCCTGTTAATATCATTTTGATACCAGAAAAGGAACCAGAGTTATAAGCATTTAAAAAAATGATGTGTGGCATTTTTGGCTATATTCGATGACCTATATCTCGGCGATACGTTATCAAATTTCGAAAATATTACACGTAACTCAGTTTTGAACCATGCCCAGTCTGCCTACAAATTTTCAGAAAAATCGAAGGGGACAACGGATTTCGGTGTTTGATTTGACGTGGAATGCCCCCATCGCGACCGGCGCGCCCACCGGCGCAGCGCCTAATCTGGCGGGGTAAACAGATAAAAACGGAGATACCAGCCGGATCGGACACAGTGCGGCAGGCCGTGCCGTGCGGCGCCGCACACTGAGCCTCACGGCTGCTGAGCACGGGTATAAATCAGACTGACGTCGCCACACGAGTTACGGCATCATGACACGCACGCTACCTCCTCACGGTGCGCCATGGCATGGTATGGAGGAGGAACGGTAAGTATGGGCTGATAGTCGATCAAAGCGGCCAGAGATGTGAGACACTGTGTCCGATAGCGCAGCTTGCTGTGTCCGATAGCGCAGCTTGCTGTGTCCGATAGCGCAGCTTTCTGCATGACGTATTGTGGGACTAAACCGATGATCAACTCATGCTAGTCAGTGGCACTCGTGTTGCGTTGATGAACAAAGAAGACAGATAAAGCAAGCTGTGAGACAGCAATATATAGCCTGCACGAGTCCAATCATCACGGCAGCCGAAGTTTCAAAGTTTGGTTCCTTGAGAAAGCATGAAGAGTTCGCTGAATAGGACCAGCTAATGAATTACGACTTTAATATGACTTATTAATTGTTACGCATAGCAATAGTAAGAAGTGGAAAATCGTTGCCAACATAAATAAAATAAAAAATGAAAGGGAACGTGAGTCAGCTCAAAATTAAAGGCCTGTGTAATCGCGCCATGCCATGTCTTGATAATACCCTGATTACTTCGTAAAAATGAACATTGAAAAGCTATAGATCTGGCTGATCATGATATTGAGTTATCGACAAATACTTGATGATATTGGCAAGCACTTCTAGGATAAGATAATGGGCCGGAGTACGACAATCACATCGCATAAAGGATTAGACAGCGGACGACAACGACTTTTCCAATGACCAATCCTAGTAGACTGTGTTGATGAGCTTTTCGCCCCGTCGGGCCCTTACTAACCGGATGGCAGCGGCCAGGCGCGCCTTGTTCAGCTGGAGCCCGCACCTGGGGCATTCGCTCGATCGCTTCACATGCTGCACAATGCACGCCTTGCAGACTGGAAAACGAAAACACCGGCTTACATGACAGCCGGAGATTATGTGTGAATTACGCCTCACGTTGAGTATGATACATGGATTGGTGAACACAACCAAAATTGAGTCACAGCGCATTACCTATTTTGTGAAACAATTATTTCTGCTCTCTTCAACGACAGTTCTTTCATAATATTCCTTATCATGCTGTAAGTCACCGTGTATAACATACTGTGTGAGCCCTACGTAATAACTCATCGTACCATCACATCAAGCTAACTCACGAATCACGAGTACCTCTCGTGACTAACGAAACTCTGCACAAAGCTCCGTTTTCCCACGGAATCTCCCATCGTTCCTTACACGAGTGGAGGCACTCGACGACGGTGAAGGCGTCGACGAAGTATCCGTGACACAGGTGACAGGTGAGCTCGGGGCCCAGCTGGCGGATCTGCAGACGGCGCGCCCGCTCCATCGTCAGATCCATGACGTCACTGGTCTATAATGTGATGTCACTGGTTCGGTAAGGCGCCGTCAGACCCTGCAACAAAATGGCTGCCGTGAGAGATGAAGTCCGGACGGGCACATACCGAGCGGGTAAAATAGATCAAAATGTTCCAGTCAGATCGAAGTAAAACTTCTGAAAATACGGAAAGAAGATATAGTGAGGTAAGGGCGCCGAAACTGCAGAGAGACTCCCAAAATTAGAGACTTAGCCGTAGATCAACATTAAGAATCCCCGAAATATTCAATTGTATTGTACCAGCTGCTCGTCTTGATCATGAAGATAATAATCAACTGATCAGTTTATGGTGTCAGTGCAACGTAAAATTTTAAGAGGAACAAACTGTCAGCAGCTTTTACCTACAACCGTCCCAGGAAGACCAAGTGATTGGTATGCACTATGCAGCATGCTGTATGGCCCACTTATGGTCAAAACTTGAAATTTGATTTTTAAGCGTAACTTTGACATGCTCGACTTTTCCAGAGAAGAGAAAGACTATCGGACATCGCCCTAAAATGAATGGATTATTAATAAATGGACTATTGTTATTGTAACAAATATTTTGGTTTTACAAAAACCCAGCTTATTTAATGGCTATGCTGATCTTATTCGGCTCTGGAGACAGTCGTTGACAAAGACTGTTGTAATCTAAACGCTGCGGCACGGATGGACCTGTCCCACACATTGTTTCTGTCATCCAAAGTTCAAAAAATATTTACAATTCATTACCATCCCCTGAGATAAAGTATGTACGCAAAAAAGTATACGGCCGGGAAGCCACTTGATGACCTTACATTCGCCTACAACCGACTTACAACTTAGGCAGGTAGGTACTGTATGTAGTCTGTACTCTATCAATTACATGTCAGATCTCTCGAGTGCTCAGTCATGATGACATGATGACAGTCATGAGAAATCGTTACATGGGACAGCTGTCGTCATAGGCGGATCCAGAATGGGGGTCTCGAATGCTGCGAAGAGGCATATCTCCCGAAAAAGTTCCTCCAAATTCTAAATTTCGAGTTCGTATACAATACTGTGCAGTTAAAAACATTTTTCTTATAAAAGCTTAGTTTTCTTTCTGTTCTAGTAGAAAAAACGACACATTTTTTTCATTGATTTCGGACGCTGCTAGGGTGCATTGTCTCAAATGCCTCCATTCCCCGGATCCACCATTGGCTGTCGTAGGTCGGAAAATAAAAAGAGGGTCTGAGATGTAGCCCAACATCTTCAGTCACATACCAAAAATCGACAACTTTTTACACATGCACAACTGTGTTCCATGCACGAGTTATAGGTAGCAAGCATTCGATCATGCTGCAAGGCGCCTGGGATGTAAACGCAGCTAGTGTATGTTTATCTTTTACTCTGCTCTAATTTGCGTCACCAGCTGGGGCATTCCACGGTAGATCGTACCACTTTTTTCCAATTTGACACCCTCATCTCTCGGATTTTAACCCGGCAGTCGCTGGAGTATTTCGCCACCCACCGTTTGCTGGGGGGGGGGGGGGGGGGGCGTTAAACGCCCCCAGCCGATAACTCGAGAACCAATAGGCGCAGCGAAACGCACGAGGCGGCAAACGAAAGAGCGCGACGAGACGCTTCAGATGAGTACTTCAAAGTTGAATTTTGAGGTCATAGGTCGGGTCAAGGTCAGGTCAAACACCTGAAATCGGGCTTTCAGTAGCATGGACTTCAGGACTTCGCAATGGGCGCCTCTCGTCATAAAATCTGTCAAAACGGTGCACAATCCATCATATAAGGCCTACAAGAGTGTCAGCTCCATGTAGGGGTCAGTCAATCATAGGTCAGGGTCAAGGTCAGGTCAACCGGGTAGGCACATATCCCCGAAAATCAAAACTGATATTCGCAGCCTGTGACACATGTTTTAGGTGTAATTTGGGGCGTAGAACACGATGGTGACATTCATTTTATCATATGTGTACGTGTTTGGCTCAAAAAGTTCAATTTGAGAAATACATGAATCATGGTCGTGAAGTAGTCACGAAAAATTGCCAAGATTCAGTTCAAGATTATGGAAAATGCGGAACAATAATCAATAATCAAGGATAGCCATTTGATTGATCATGGTATTGGCAGTCTAATGGCGTTTACGGCATGTCTGTATGTCTATTTTGTGATTTTATATGATTTTTTGAACATATGCCGTTTTTGGTCGAAAACTCAGAAATCATGACGTCACTAAAACCTCGATATCTCAAAAATTTTCCGACCGATTTTTTTGAAACTTTGTCACGATAAACTTCAATCAATTCCCTACAGGTACCCAAAATTTGGCGCGCCTGCGGCGCGCCGTTTTTATGCTATGGCCCGGCGAAAAAAGTGGGGGCGTTTAACGCCCCCCCCCCAGCAACTCGCGGGTTAACGATAATTGGTCTAAGGGGTAATCAGGGGCTCTGAATCCTCCTGTGACAATTTCAGGCTTGTCAGATGAGTAGTTTTTGAGTTATAGTGTATAACATGTTTTGGATCTTGCGTTGCAGCGCCAAGTTTGGCGGGCTGTAACTCTAAGACGGATAATCCAAATGCCAAATGCTATACGGCATTGAACTTGCATTGAAACAAAGAATAATATGCATTTTTTAAATTTTGAAATATAAAATGTTTTTGATTTATAACACCTCAAGTTTCCATTCATTTGCATTTTTATGCCTTTGGGACCAAATTTTTTTGAATTTTTATTTTCTTAAAAACATTTTTGGATCATTTTTAAGTAGTATGCAAAAAATTAGGAAGGTGTTCTTTCTCTAAATGTACTTATTTTGCGTTACCGTAAAGGTCTCAAATTGTAATTTCGGGAAGAGAGCCTACAAATGGCGTGGTAAAGCTGCCTAGTGACATCACTGGTTACTGAAAGTTCAATTGAAGTCATTTGTGCCTGACTTTTGCATTGTTGACCTTGCGTGACGTCATTCGTACGTCACTAGGGTCATAAGAGTTTTTCGTCAATAACTCTCGATCAAATTGAACTAGAGAGACGGGAAAGCTACTAATGGACTCGGGAAGACCTTGCGAATCGAATGATGTGCAATATGATCTCATTCACCCAGATTCGTGGCCTGACCCGACTGTTAACCATTTCTGTGGCGACGCCGCGCTGTTTGTCTAGCGCCGCGCTGGTTGGCTTTGCCGCGGACTCGGGCGGTCACGTGATGCCCGGGGGCTGGCTGCCGGCTGGGCCGCCCGGTCGGGGAGCGGAGCCAAATACACGGCAGTGTGCTGACCCGAGGTCAGCGACTTATGCTGACCTCACCAGAACAAACAGTATACCATTCGACGCGCCGGAGCTAGGCAAACACAAAGATGCTAAAATCGCGGCTCTGCGACCATTTGTTGCGAAGTTATCTACCAAAAACCGGACCCGTAATTTGGGTCACTTGAAATGACCTCAGGGTTCACCAATGAGCCCGAGACCTTAAAATGTGGTAGCATTCGATGCATCTTGTAACGGCGCACATGCTCGTTTTTTTCCGCAAGGTTCTAGCTCCATTTGAGGCGAAACGGCGAGCTGTGGCCATTCTTATAAAGAAAAGAACGGAGGGACGCTCCGTCATTTCTGAGATTAGACGGAATTTGGTTATCATAAAAGGACGAAGACGAAAGACGGAACCCGTTAAAAGAACGAAGCCAGATTGACGCTACCCCCACCCAAAAGGACGCGTTTCCGTATCATAAAGAGACAAAGACGCCTCTGGTGACGTAAGACTTTGCGTTGTTCGTGAAAAATAACGCATCAGAAATAGCGCTGCTCTTCAGCAGCGCTTTTTTACGGCATTGATACGATATTTAGCTGGTTGCGAGAGCAACTTGCGCGAAATGTGTTTCAGGCTGCATGCTAATCGATATGTGAACTGTATGACATTGGTCGGGAGTTATTTCACACGAAAATTAGTCAATTTGACATGCAGACCAAGTACCTATAGACCGCCACTTTATCGTTCTGCAGCTATCGTTGTTTATCGGGCATACACATTAACAGGCAGGATTGGACACCTTGAGATGCAATATCCAGTAAGTGGTAGGTGTTTACTGTTTGCAACTGCCTCCCAGTAGCTCCACCCTCACCTGGCCTGTGTCCTGTGTCCTCTGGCGCCTCGACTGGTATCACGGTTGGAGGTCTGAGTCACGTGGCACTACAACTTCTCGTTAGCACTTAAAGTTCTTGTTTGCACGCAGAGAAATTCGTATACACTCCGCCAGGCTCAAGCGCTCTCGCTGGACTGTCCTCGCTGTCCCCACACAGAGAAGATCCACAGGCCATTTCTTCCCCCGCTCCCCCTCCCCCCTCTTTAGCGTCAGTTCGTCAAAACAACACCTGCGCCCCCGTCTCTCTCTCTCTACCTACTCCTTCCCTCTCTCCCTCCCTTTCATCCCGAGCCGCCGCGCGCCGCGTCGTCCCCTAGAGCGATAAGATGCCTTATCAGTACCCCTCCTCTTTTATCTCTACCGCCTGCCCCGAGCTGCCACGCTAACTCAGGGTGTCTGCGTTGTTCCCTTACCGCTTATTAGACACCCTATCACTGAGTAAGACATAGGCATTACCACATTTATACGCAAAAACAATCTTTGGTGGGTTTCAGCCTAGCAGGAAAGACTACAACATATTACATACTTCGCTTATCTAGATTATCCTTGATCGTAGCCAAGGCTATGTATCGTAGCAGACAACAGCCCCCGGTCCCATAAAAATTCACATATGATCCCAAATAATTAGAGGTTCTCATTTTATTATACCTATATAGCGATCACACAGTATTTTCTTAGTCTTATTGCATTCTTTGTGACTAAATTTATAAGAAAATATTGCAGGAAATAATTCCTGTTTCATTTACTAAAGCTCTTGATCATTTAGACGAAAAACGCATCCTAGCAAAACAACGAAGGGGGAGGGGTAGAGGGACGGAACCTTTATGATAACCAATAAGGACGGAATCGTTTAACCCTCGCCCGCACATGCCATTTTCCCATCCTAGAACGCACATGGGGGGGTGGTTGCCACCCCCCCGCGCCATTTCGTTCCTGTTGGAGATAGAGCTTAGCAGTAAAGACCAAAAAGATTCTTTGGGAAGAGACGAATCCAATGATACCCAGTTTTACCTTCTCAGGTCAGTCATTGACCTTCCAGGTCAGGTCAAACTAAAAAATGTTGCTGTTTTGGGTCACCGTTGGATATCAAGTGCGCTGCTTATCAAATACCGATGACGATGCTGTTTTCTGGTGCCAAGCCAGCTAGAACCTCTTTGTCACACTATCCGACCAGAATTTTGCTGCTGAGGTCATTTCAGGTCAAGTTAGGTCAAGGTCAATTATATGTGTTTGTATGTCTGTGTGTATCTGTGTGTATACTGATGTGTGCACCGATTGTTTTCGGGTCCATATCACATGAAATCATGATCTGAGAAGCTTTTACCAAAAATGCAGTCAAAAAACTTCACAAAAAATAAATTCAGCTTGCCTAAAACGCAATTATCTTAGATGACCTAGGTTGACCTTGACCCTGACCTTGACCCCTGTACATCGTCGAACAACATGTTCCATGATAGGTGGGAGGTAAGACTGGCAAAAAAGGCCGAAATCAGGGTGTCAAAAGCTCACAAGGCCCATGGCAAACGCAAGATGTTGAGAATTGGCCATTTGGGTCATGACATGACCTGAAAAACAAGGTCATATCTCCGAAACCAAAAATCACAAAAACTTAAAATTTTCAGTGGACATCAAGAAAGGATAGACGAGCAGCTATACGAAAAATCAGCCTTCTAGCTCTAAAAATGTTGAGTGCAGAGCAGAAAGACTGCCTGGGGGGGGTGGCAACCACCCCCCCCCCATGTGCGGGCGAGGGTTAATTCATTGAGTTCTTTTTTTCTTTCCGTCCCTCCGTCCTTTTTCTTTATAAGAATGGCCGTATGGCTTTATAAGAATGGCAGAAATGGCCGTGGGGTCGTACCGACCCCACGGAAACCCATTTTTTATGCATAAAAATGAGGAACTTATAGAAAGAACACCTTTCTAATTTTTTGCATGTCGATTTTAAATGACCTGAAGTTTATTTTGAAGAAATAAAAATGGCAAAAATTTTGGTCCCAAGGGCCATTATAGACAATTTTAAAAAATATTACGACTTTTTTCAATATGTAAAGCTTTTCTTTCCAATTTTGAAAAAGCTGTATTAATCTTTGATTCATCATCAGTTCAAAGTTGTTTACCGTTTGTTGCTTGCTTAGCTCGTTTTTGAGTTATAGCTCATCAAACTCACCCTTACAATCTGAAGTTTGGAGAATATTATGCAATATAACTCAAAAAGTTCTCATCTGAGAAGTCTGATATTTTGGCAGGTGTTTTTGGAGCCTATGATTACCCCTAGTACCAATTTTCATTCAAATCTGAGGGATGAGGGTGACGGGCCTGGTACGATCTATCGTGGAATGCCCCAGCTATCACTGAGCAAGCAAAGGCATCCGTAAGTACCTAATCAATAACTTAGCAGGAATCAAATCATGGTAATCCCCATGCGCCCTGCTCTTTTCGACAGTCGAGTTCAGTCTCAGACCCCCAGCGTCCAAAATTCCAAAGTCCTCTATCTTACATACAAAACGGTCATGCTCATGCGTTGTCCCCGTGTTATGGGACCGGTCCCAACGCGGCGGCCCCAGACAGCCGCCGCGGCGACGGCGGCGGCGGCGGCGGCTGCCGGCGCGTGCGAAGACCGGGAGCCGTCTGTTGTGATGACGTCATCTCGCGCCGATCAGCTGAGCGACCGGCCGGTGTCTGTCCTCATGGTAACCGACTCTGTCTGGGGCCGTGTGTCGTCTGCACGTGCTGCTGAGGTCAGGGGTCACACACCACGCCGACGCCCAGCCCAGTGCGGTCCGCCACCGGAAACAAAGCGGCACATGTCAACAGGCGGCAGTGCGCATGCGCGACAACGCCGCCGGTCGAGATAAACGCGTCCAACGCAGCCTGGGCGCCCGCCAGCTGGCGACGGGGCCGGAAAGAGCCACCGGCAAGCTTACCACCGCGTGTGCCGCCGTGACCTACCTTTACCCGGCTCGCTCCGACGCATTTCGACCGGCGCAGGCGCGTTGCAGGCCTCACACACGCACACACGTGCACAGTAGGGCGCGAGCGGCCGGCACTGGGGGCAGGGGAGGGAGGCGGCTGCCTCGCGCGCGGCGCGGCGCCGGCCCCCGCGGCGGTCACGTGGTGCAGAGTTCCCGGATGCTGCGAGTCCCCTACCGCAGACGCCTGTCAGCGGACCGGCTGGTGGCCCCGGCGGCTCCGGCCGCGGTGGGGACGGGCGGCGGCCAGTTGGGAGGGGTGACAGGGGAGGGGCGCGGGAGCATTGGGACGCCCACAGTGTATATGGGACGCCGGTGAAAACAGGGCGCCGGAGGGCATATTAGTCACGTGACATTCGGAAGTTCTCCCCCTTTGTCGGCCTTCTACATGCTAAACGTCACGTGTGAATTTCACGAATCTTGATCAAATCGCCCCAGACCGTCGTCCGGAGCATTGGTCACTGATCAGTGATCAGGGTCGTCGGGCGGCTGCGAAGGGTCGCAGCAAAGTGAGTGGAACAAAAGGTAGTCCAAGGCTTATTTAACTTTGGTGAGCTAAAAATTATGCGAAGTGATGAAATCGATTCAATGAGGATTACATCGTAAGATTTTGCACTCAAAACATTCGCAATTAACTTACTACTGTTTGCATTGAAAACCTGTTGAGCATTTCGCGTCCGGCACTTCGCGGGTCCAGATGCCTTATTTTTTAGAAATGGCTTTTGTAAATATTGATTGTTCATTTTACGGTTAAATCGAAAAAAGAGGAACCCTTCAAAAAAAACCTAAAGCAGCTTCGGCAGTGCCAGGGAGCTAGGTATAAGTGCGGGGAGCATAGCATAACTCGTTCATTACAAAGCGTCATTCAAACGCGTCTCATGCCACAACTTTTCAAGCAAATTCCCGTCGCATGCATTCCTCATCGTCACCGCCCACTCGCCGCTGGTCACGCCGGCGAGCCGTGGTGTTGTGATGACCTCCTGTCCCACCCCTCCCCCGTCTCTCGGTTTCATATTCCCGGCCCCGCGGACAGACAATAGTTTATCCAAACACGGACCACCTGGCTCTGTGACCGGGCGCGAGGGACCGTCGCGTCGGACCCGGGCCCGGTCCACCGCGGACACCGGACACCGGATCCGGACTCAGTGGAAAGGTGGGCGGCTCTGTCCACACAGCTGCTGTTTGCCCCGTGTCTAGCCCAGCAGAAGGAGCCACAATGGCCGCCGGCTGATTGGGAGGGGAAGGGAGAAAATTATAGCACTCTGCCTGTATTGTCACCAGACATGGAAATTTAACAGCAAAGCAGAACTTAAACTAATACTTTTAATGTTCAAGCCTTCTCGAGCTTTTCCCTAAATGTCATTTCAAGTCGTTTGACCCGCAGTTTGTATTCATTTTCCTACGAAAATCTTCACCTACAATTTCGTTCCATTCAACATGAATATTCTAGTAAAAAAGGAGTCTGGCTGCCCGACTCCATAAGCATTGTTTTACGTCTAAAATGGTTCAGATGGCTACGGACTGACATCCACCATAGTCTCTACTCACTGTTGCAATATTGTATGCTGCTAAACCACCACCGAGCCGACAAGGAAAATTAATAAAAATGGCAATGGCAAGGTTTCCCCTTTCATCTTGTATTAGAAAAATAACAAATTTGCATATGTTTAATTATCAAGCTGTTACTTAGCGGTCACGTCAAACCCTATGACCTGCGTCACCTCTCCGGGCTCTCCTTGTATCTTGTAAGCCGATGCAATGTATTTCACAGCCACCACTGGCATTTATGTATAGGACTGTGGACGTGACATCAGATATCATTGAATGCACTCCATGCACCATATATGTGCATGCTGAGCATGCTGCTTGAATGTTCTAAGACTTCTAGATACCGTCAACATTATCTCAGCAAATGCGGCACCATTTGTAATTGATACTGCTCACATGGAGCCCAAACTGTAATCTTCAGCGCTTACCATCATCCGCGATCCAATCAGCACTTTGCACTACCTCTGCGGACTGTTATCATACACCAGTGGGCCGTTTTAAAGCACGTCTCACACCGGCTAATGCTCGCTACACGTGGCTACGGTCACGACTTAGGAATATAATGGTCTGAAGTGCACTGGACAAATGATTCTCTCACTACATTAGAGTATCGATTACAGGCATAAGTCTCATGGTGTTGCCCAATGAGTGTTCTGCAGACAGCAAATAACAATTAATTTGATTAATTTTGTTAGCTATCCTTTCTAATGTTGATGTTAAAACGACATTGAAGATAGAGCATTTCGATGGAATGTTGGAGTCAAGAACAGTGCTGAAACTACCCTTGAATATATAAGTCTATTTTGGAATTTTGGTAAAAAAGTAGGTATCATGCACCATTGCGATCGGCCAATTATGTATTTACCGTATCTAATTTTGTCCGATGTAATTAGATACAACCTGTTTATTCACAGTTCATTGGCTCCCATTGCTGAACGTTGGTTCCAGTACCGTGCATGGATGAAGTGTTCCCTTTGGCGGATGTAAAATTCAAAATCGCTCTGGGACGCGCATCTCCGTAATTAGCTTTAACATCATATCAAACCGAACATACCAGCGTGACAGTAAACAACCGAATGATTCGAGCCAGTCAGTCGCTTGTTGATGATCCATGTATAAGCAAAACCACCGGCCGCCCGCTAAATCCAATGTATATCATGTATGTTGCACCCCTTCAGTAAACATACCAGCGTGCATATTGCATAGTGCAGACAGTTAAAAAACTCAAGCAGTTTGCAAAATGTCCGCAACGACGCTTACAAATGGCACGAAAAGACATCACACATTTTCCGTTTCCGTTTTTTTCTGTTTTGTTTTTCTCATCGCATCTCTATTTTCTCCCACGTTTCTAGACATTGATCGTTGTCAAAGAGCGTTCGATTGTTTTTAGGAATGGAAAACACGCCTCACTTCTATCCTCGACCCTGCGGCGACGCCATAAAGTATCTACCTTTACAAAGAACTATTACGAGTTCTTTCAGGAACCCACGAGCACGGACCTCCAATGGGAAAGCGGTGACAGTTTCTATCAACGTAAGCTGTGGAAGAACAGTTAACGCTTCATTTTTAACCCGCGCCCAGATGGGGTCTGCCGAGCAACGCGGTCTGATGGGGGGGGGGGGCATTTTGGCCCCCCCTCAGATCTCGAGAACCACGCAATATAGCGACAAGCGGTAAACGGTGTTGGATAGCCCCAACGGGGAACTACCTTGTGACCCAACTTCATTGACCTCGGTCAAACCGATGACGTCACAGGTCAGGTCAAAGGTCGAATTTTCACCGTTTACAGGCATTTCAAGAAATGCGTTGTAAAATCGAGTAAAATGCATTTCATTGAAAATCATCGGTGGAGAAATGTTCTTCAAACACATATTTTGCTATTTGAGGTCACTGATACCAGGTCAGGTCACAGAGGTCAGGTTACTGGGGGGGTCACAATATGAAAGTGTCGTGTGATACATGTTTTATGGTCCATTTTACATGACAAATGCGATTATGTGGATCAGACAGACTTTAGGGCCGGCTTAGGTCACGTTTTGGTCAAGGTCAGGTCAAGGTCAGGTCAAGGTCAGGTCAAATTAGGTCAAATTTCAAAGTTGATATTTTTGCATAAAATGGGTATCGATTCGATGCATCTTGTCACGGGGAGTTCAATGGTGGTCTCCGTTTTGCGCTACCAGGTCTAGAATTGCTAAAAATTGAGTTCAAAAATTTTACGTCATCAATTTTTAACAGTTTTTTTGCTATAACTTGGCCAAAAAAAGAGGTATCGATCTAAAATTTGGTATGTATATCGAAGAGCGTAGGGACTATCACATATATTCCGGTTTTTTCGAAACTCGAAAAAAAAATTGGAAATTTTTTGAGTTTTTCTAAAAAAATCATTTTTTTATTTTTGGGGGTCAAAATCCAAAAATTTCGAAAATCCGAGATAGCAGTTTTGTAGCGCCGTCTTTTCTCTACACAACCACATAAAGAACTTTAAAATTGCTTGTTAACTGTAGAATTGGTGAGCGTTTCAAGATGTCATGTTTTTTGCTCATTTTTGCTCGAACATGACCTCAGTTTGACCTCAATAACTCCTGACCTGAGGTGACCTGTGACTTGAAATTTTGTGTGAAGGTGTTAAATTGATGCCCGGTAAGGTACCCAAAATTTGGCAGCGCCGCCGTTTTCTCGCTATTTAAGAAAAACCACAGGGGGGGGGGGGGCAAAATGGCCCCCCCCCCATCAGGGCGCGGGTTAAACCAGAATATCAGCGCCGCCTTTTTATTCAGAAGGATTGGTTTAATTATTGACGCCACCCTATCCCGTACATACTGCTGTACTTGTGTGATCGACTCGGGTAACCTTTGAACGCAGATCACTTATTGAGCTCCAGTACCATTGATCGAATGAGTTATTTATGCCTTACGCCGACCTGTGACCCAAATCGGCACACCGCTCGCCTTCTGTTGGATGGCGAGTAATCACACTTTTAGACGATGCGACCCTACCATGCGAGTGCGGCTCGGTATTCGATACTGACCGCATTGGCGAAAGCGTTAAGCTGTTAAAAAAGGGCAATGCAGTTTGTGTGTGACTGGATTTCGTGTACGACGTGACATAAATAAAGGGGTTGCAGAAGACTCGGACATTTTGCATGCGTATTACGTTTTCCGGGCTCCGGGGGACAACGCCACTGCTCGAAAATGGCGACTGGGGCTCAAAGGAGCAGCAAAACCTCATTCAGTCAGCGCAACCTAAGCATAACAAATATCTGGCCGGCTGCCGGACGCACCATCGGCACAGTCCCTGCAGACAGACACAGTCCGTGCAGGCTGTCATATCGTCATCAGCGGCCCGTCGTCTGTGAGCCGTCACTTTCCGTCGTCCCACACCCTCAGCCGACGTCACGGCGCGTGCCAACCGTGACGCACGTCGCACAAACCTGGCGCTGCTCGGCGGTGGTGGAATCATCAGCAGCGACATGAGGCTTTGTAGAGCTGAGTTGATGTCGACAGCTGAAGACGACAAACACAATACGCAGCCAAGTGGTCTGACTTGACCTGGCTCGGTCTGCCAGCTCGGGCGGTGGCCTG